AAACCAGCCATTCCAGTTTGGGCAACAGTTTTGTCATTACCCTTGGTATATCCAGTATTAAGTAAAGCCCACGTTTGAAGACATACATAAATAAACATAGTTTAAAGGTAAAGACCAGTATTGGAAACGCCCCAATTTCAAAAAATGAAATGGAAGCTCTCATTACCAATCATGTGAAAGAATATGTTTCGACTAATACATGATGATAAAAAAAATTGCCGGGAAACTGCCTAATAATTCATATATTTGGTAAATTTGTTTCTCTCATGGTCTGTGAGAGATATAGGGTAGTCCCATATACATCTTTCTGTGTATAGTGCTTGTAACTTTACAAAGAATGGGCCAAATTTCTTATCATTTTGATGATTCCAGAACCTTGCAGATGCTAGATGCTAGATGATCAACCTTTTATGATCGATTCCACAACGTTTCTTTCACAATGCAATCGCATGACCATAACTGGTCTTTACCTTTAAGTAAATATTGACTATACGATTATAAATATTTCGCCCAATCATTTCATACGCCGTCATTTTGGCTATTATTATAATGTAGTCTATATACGCCAAAAAGCAGCCAAACTCATTGATAAATAAACAAACGAACACTGAGCAATGCATTATTACATCTTATTTCTAATCGAAGTATCGAGGGTTAAGGCCTTCGTTGGGTACGTTCTAACAAGAACTACACCCTTCAGTAGGTCTACCTACACCAGGAAAAAATAGATTGATTCAGAAAAAATGTAGGCCTATTTTTTTCCTTTTACAAGTAAATGTGGTATGATACCGTATGGTATACAAGGGATGGTGATAGTGGTAGACTGGATAAATGTATTCAATATGTTTCAGAAGCTAGTATAGTGATAATTGATAGATATGATCGCGAAGACTTTCAAGAAATCATTTTCAGGGTTATTTCAATACACTGTGTTACTGCCTGTAGAAACCATGTTCGGATTACGAATGTCATAAATCAATGGAGTACACTTAGATTGATTTTGCGATCTTTGTGATCTTATTGTTCAACAATTGGATTCAACCATAACTCTAAATCTCTATCAGGTCTTCATTTCGAATATAGTATCTCGAGCAGTATATTAAAAATGATAGTTTTATGTGAAATATTATAATTAGACGTATTACGCTTTGACAATAACGACCGTTTCCAATAACTATTGAAGAGCCTGGTGAGAGATCTTGGAACGAAGAAGAAGACAAAATAAGGGGAAATCACACATTCAGTCGTTACCGGGGCAACGCTCACCAAACGACCGGCTGGCATGGGCGATTATTATTTGCTCTCTCCGTGCTTGCTCGCTCGTAAGCCCCCCGAGCGAGCGAGCGGGCGAGCGATTTTCGACTGTGTTTATTACTGTCCTCATCACGAACGGGTCTATTGTTGACTGTTGTCACAAAGCGAACGAGTTGATTGCTTATGCACAGGTGTCCAAAGTAGAATCTGACTAGTCTGCGCATTCAGCCACGTTGAATCGCATGGCTCATGATTAATATTGCGTTTATTATTTTGTCAGTCGTGGATAGTATATAATAGAAAGCACAGAAAGGCAGTATTTTTACGATTTATAGGAGTTTAGACTAAAATGCTGTCATTGGAATAGCATGTTTATTAGTGATAGCAGTATCATGTTTGTTTGTCTAGCACAGTATTCTCTCTCACCCTCTTTTCAATCATTAATTTTTGAATTTTTAAAGAAGAAAAATGTCGGGTTTCTAAGCTTATCGTTATATAATGCGTATTACATTAAATTAATGACTTTGAGAATTACTAGCTTGCTTGATGAAGCTCATTAACAAAATCAGACTCGGGTCTGAGACTATGCATGTATCCTCAGATCATTCGCTGAGAGCGAATATTATCACAAGCACAATAAAAGGGGGAAGGAAACAAAAAGATGTGTACCTCCAGAGTGGACATACACACTCGAACTCAAATTATACGTCGAAGAAAAGATTACACAATGATCATATGGGATGCATATACACACTCGGTACACAGCTGGGTAGGGATCCTGATAAAGTGATTTCGTCGTTATCTAATGTACAAAGCTGTAACGGGTAATGGTAAAAGAGCACAAGATTAACTCGGGGTGAGATGATAAGCGAGCCAGCCAGCGCTTTGGTAATCAACGATCAACATAAAAATGATAACCTGTTATCTATCGCATTTATGCCCCCCCCCCCAACTCTCTCTCTCTCTCTCTATCGCTGTGTGTGTCTGTCTGTCTCTCTCTCTCTTGCTTTTTCCTCTTCTCTAGTATCTGTCGCTCATTCTCTCTCGTTTCCACCCCTCTCCCTCCCTCTCTCCACATGAAGTACGGTAATGAACCAGCGGAGTGTCGGGCTTTGGGTCGTTTGACATCTGGCGTCGACTGTGGCTGTGGCGACCTCGTATCAAGAGCCAGGGGGACTGGAGTATATAATAATCAGTGATCAGTTTCGTTTGCTGATCGACGGTTAACAACACTGGCTGGCCAGTTGTACTCATTTACGTCCTCAAATGAAGTCCTGGTCGTCGTGCTTATGCCGACATCGCTTCAGAATTTGACCGGTGCTTGGTTGATCAGGGAGAATCAAATTTTTTTTTTAAATTCATCTTTGATAAGCGTACGTGACTGTATATACTCCTTTGACCCGTTCTAGATTTCGAGACAATTTTAACTTAGTGATATTGAGGACTTCATTGCTGTAGCAGTGGATTTTAAACGCTAAGTAATCAAAGACTTCGAACCACTTGAACTGTGACTGTGACTCTGTGAGACGTCAACAATGATTTAAAGACAAATAATTATTATGTCAACGCGATATTATATTTACAACAATGTTGCAAACTTGCAATAACGAAGGAATGTATCAAGACAAGTCAAGGAGTCAATGTCTAGTGATTCATCGCAGATGACTATTATCTTCCGTGATGAATTCGTCGAAATTCCAGTAATGAACTCTCGCCGTCTCGTGTAAGAAAAGGTGGTGGTGGAAAGGGGGTAGTGAATGACCTCTTTGGAGCGGGAGGATCCCCCTTCAGGACCCCTCCAGTGTTGCGGCCAAGAACCCCGACTGGGTCGGAAAAGGGTAAAGCGGAGAGAAGACTTCGGACCCAGCTGAGCTCCACCGCGCCTGATAACAATCGGTGTATTGATTACCTCCGTGCATATTATGCGTGATTTGCATGCAACAAGCAAGCCACTGACACGGAACATCTGGGCAGGGAGAGAGAGAGGGAGAGGGAGGGAGAGAGAAAGAAAGAGAGGGAATGAAAGAGAGGGAGGCAAAGGGGCCTTTGCTAAGGAGTGTTGATTTGCGTGCGTGCTTGAGACCTCGTCTTGCCTTTATTCTCCCCGCTGACTGTCCAGCTATATCTAAAGCCAGCTCCGCTCCGAGTGTTATTTGTTCAGCTTTCTTACAACGATCAGTTTACTCATTGTAAAGGTGATAACAACACAACACAAGTCGGCCAGCTTGCGATGTGCTGTGATTTGGCTTCCAGACGCCCTTTTGCCTACACATAGCGAAGACTCTATTCTTGGTGCATCAGTGTTTCGTGTGTATGGTATAATCTTCGCAGGCTCACTTATGTCTCTGGACGTCATTACACGCAATTAGCATTTTTGACCAGGTGGGCTCAAACTCAAGAATGCGGAACTCGTGGAACCTTAGTCGTGTAATTGCAGCTCAGCAGTGGTAGATATGGCAGAGAACGAGGACGAGAATGATCGCGACATGGATCAAGAAACGACGAAAAAGGAATGCTCTGAGAAGAATGAATCGGAATCAGACCAGATTCTTCCTAGCAGTACCTGTACAGGGGCGACGACGAGCAAAGGGGCGGGGCCGTCGAGTGGCGCTGGTTCGAACAGCCGCAGAAGTCGTCGAAAGCAAAGTGATCCCCGTCGCGTCGGCAGCGAGATGGTGAAAATGGAAGTGGATCTGGTAGAGATTAAATCCGAAATCATAGACCACGGTGATAGCGATAGTCATGGGAAAGATCCGGAAGACCATTTCGACGACGACGACGATGTCTTTCTCAAAGTCAGGACCAATGCACTCGCGCCAATTCCCGACACTCCTTCGAGTTTGGAACATTTGGGAAAATCCCTGATGCACGATCAATCACGTATTCTTATTCAAGATCGAGATCGGAGGGATGTTTTACAGAGAACCGTCGTCAATGACGAGGACTGCCAACCTGAAGATCTTAGCATGAGCAGTAAAAAGCGTGATCATAAGCGTGTCGTCCTTGCAATACCGTCGGTTGTCAGACCAACCAAGGGAACTAAATCAAGGGACCTAGGAAGAAATAATTCTGTAAACTCATCAACCCATTCGCATACATCTCAGAACTCGTCTCATCTTTTTAGAGCATTTTCTCATGATTTACAGGCGGAAGAAAGCCTCGGCCTCGTTGGACTCGAGAGAGATTACTTAATGAAATACAGACACGATTACGACGACGACCATCACGACTCACACTCCCAAGTCAACGACCACCACCGTGAATATTCCACATCTCTGCCATTCGCGATCGCCCACCAACACAAAGTTCTTCTCGAACAGGAGTGCGATTCTCAGGATCTCATGTGTGGTGACCAAAAAGAAACAAACGGGAAAACATCTCCATCGACATCGACTTCATCGTCATCGTCGACTTCGCAATCGTCGAAGGCGATGGGTAAACCCGGGAGGTCGTACAAGAACTTGAGTCGTTCGCGGAGGATCGTCGCGAACGCTCGAGAGCGTAATCGAGTCCACACGATCAGCTCTGCCTTCGAGGGTCTTCGTCGAGCAGTACCATCGTACTCGCACAACCAAAAACTCTCGAAGCTGGCCATACTCCGGATCGCATGCAGTTACATCCTGGCCCTGGCCAAGCTCGCCGACCTCGACTACAGCCCCGAAGACGAGCAACAGATAAGCTTCGAGGACTGTGTCGATCTCTGCACCGAGACGCTGCAAGCAGAGGGGAGGTCGAAAAGACGGAAGGTAAGTGTGATAATTGGAAATGATTTCCTCTTCCTGGTCTCATTTAAACAATACAAACAGTATTTTGGAACTGAGCTGCAGTTTTGTTTTCTTCTTTCTAACCAATAACAACAAAAACAGATGTAACAAACAAACAATAACCACGATATTCCCTTGCAGATAATTACCGATTAAGATCGTTCAGGATTAGTGCTCATAAAATAATTAATACGTAATGAAATGAGGTAATTTGTACATGAGCAGCGTATTAGTGAGTATGCCTTACATGTTTATAGACATGACACACACTTTTTGCTGGATAAGCCAATACATCAAAAAGTGAAATTGTATATTTTGGGCCAAAAAGTGCAGAAAATTTGTCAACGGACATTCAAGTTATCTAGATATTATTTTTTAATTGGATGAAAATGGTTGTCAACGAGAGAATCTTCACTCTACCTGTCAGATTTCAAATCTGGTAATTTGTGTGACATATCTGATTCTCGAGAGCGAATGATCACTTGGGCGGAGTACAATATACCAATTCTGTATTTGAAATGGACTTTGAGATAAGAGATTGGAAATTGAAAGATAGCGCTTGGTATTAATTGGGAAATCTCACAAGCACACTCACTAATCCATTATTGTTATTAAGTATTATTTTAAATCGACACGTGCTAATTATTGCGTGAAACCTATAGGCTAAATGGGGAAACATTTTGGCGCATATAGCGATACAGCTTCATAGGCTTTAGCAAATTAGCATGCACCCAAGATTATTTTTGGCGATTTCGACCTTGTATTTATACGCCTCTCCATTCGAACCTTACTTCCCCTTTCACATTTCCCTCTCTTTTCTTCTACTTTCTGTGGTAATTTTCGATTAGAAATTACACCCATCCATGCCCATGCACTGTTCGCGTTTCTCATTCGAGCCCCTCGCTTATTAATCAACGACTGCCATTTATGATTCAAGCTTCATGCATGAATTCATCTCAATTTGTGTGTGGTTTTCTCAAAATCATTCTCCTCATAGCTCCCCTTGTCTCGTATTCTTTTTTTTTCTCCCCCTCTCGTTTCCTCTCTACTCGTTCATAATTTCTTCTCGATATTTTTGTTGAGCGGGGAAAGAGAATGGTTGTTTTTGAACATAGAAATGAGTGTGAACATATATTATTGAGGTAGTCTGATTCGGGCAACCTCTCCTATCTCTCCCCTCCCTACCCCTTCCCCAACCTCTTTTCTCTCTCGCTCTCCTCGTTCCTTCCCCTCTGTCGTTTATTATTTCTCATAATATTTCTGTCGATTAGGAGGGGAAAACGCGGGAATATAGATTTTGAGAGATGAAAATGTATTGAGGGTGATTACATGTATGTCGTTTGCTTCAGGCAATCTGTCTGTCTTCTTCCCTCTTTCCCCTCACCCTCTCCAGTGTCTCTTCATCTCTCAAATGCTCCCATTTCCCCATCTACTCCCTCTCTTCTTCGTCTCCGTTCTCTTTATCTGTCTCTCTCCCTCCTTCCCTCTCTCTCTCTCCATCTCCCTTTCATTCTCCCCCGCTCATTATTCTCTGTCTCTCTGGCGATGCTTCTTCGCTTGCTCTTTCCCTCCCGTCCATGCCGGCCCACTTCACAGCTGTTTGCCGTGGTCACCACTCATCCCGTATTCGAGTTTCTCGTCGCCTCTTGACAACTCTCAAGTCGGTATAGAGTGAATTGAGAAACTCCTCCTACAGAAATAACAGACGTTTCTTGACGCCATTTTGATCGTGATGTAGTGCAATTCTTCCTGTGAGTGTATAGATTTTAAAAGAAACGCATCTGGTTCTTGTTCGGTTTCTGCCTCTGATTTTCCTCGTTCTAAACAGGGATATTAAACTCACATATCCCTGTTCTAAATATTGCGCTCCTGTGTATTTTACACATTTTAATTCTATGCACCTCGAAAGCGCACATGTCATCAGCTCATTCGGTATCTTTGGTAAATAACCCGATATTCCGCCCTCGTTCTTCATGAAATACAACAGTTGGCCCATAATTCGCAAATGTCACATAACATACTGCGATAGTACATAATTTATTCATCATTCTTATAGAACCATAATAGATAACGATGCGGAAGAAGGAGTTGAAGAAGAAAAAAAAAGAATAAAGTAGAAAATCTGAAAGAACAAAAGAAAGAATGAATGAAAGAAGAAAGATAAGAATAAGACAGAGGGAGAAGAAGAAAGAAGGAACAGAGACGAAGATGTTGGCACTGCTGCTGCTGATGATTATGAGGAGGAGGAGAGGGAGGAAGGAGGATACTGATGGTGGTCACGAAAATGGCGATCAAGACATAGTGATAGCGATCAGAGCCTGACATTGTTAGGCCATAGGCTCAAAGATTCGTGGAATTTAGAAAAATGCTGAGAGTATATGCCTGCAGACCGGTATTGCTTCTAAGCACCATTTCACTCCGAAAACTGTCTGCATCTGTCCTGCTCTGCAACATGCCTAAACCAACTACAAAGCATCGTCATACAGAGACATGTTTAGTAACATGATCCCTAGTCCTACTGAACACAACATTCAAGTCAGCACAGTGTATTAATATCTCAATTGATTAAGTTTACTGTTCTAAAGGTCATCCCAGGCAATGCGAAGATTATAATCATTTTAATCGAAAATTTGCGAAAGCAGCTGTGTTCCAATCGACTGCAGGTACATCCACAAATTATTTTGATCATTAGAGCACTCTTTATGCTCGGAAAGAGAGAGAGAGAGAAACTGGGGTGGAGAGGGAGGGAGGGAGGGAAGGAGGAAGGGTGGAGGAGGGAAGGAGTGAGGGAGGGAGGGAGGGCGGGACGGAGGGGAAAGAGAAAGAAGAAGAAGAGAGAGAGAGAGAGAGAGAGAGAGAGAGGGGGGGGGGCGCCATACAACTTGTAAAGTTTGCACTGCAGTCTTGATAGGAAGTGCGTTACAGATATACTCTAATGACGATTTAAAGTGACGAAAATTGCGATTGTTTTGGTTTTGGTCTTCTTACGTTTTCCTTTTAAAAATCCGAATGCATTGTACTTTGAAATAATAAAAGTCAATATTCAAATGAACGACGGCGAGACAGCTCTATTCAGTGCCATATTATAATGACTCTGTTCTCCATCTATTTCTGTAACAAAACTGAAATGTCAGTCATGACAATGCTGGCTGTTCAAAAGAAGATCGTAGATCGTCCTTTCCCTTTCTGAGATTCATATCGATCTGCTGTTGTCAAAAGACGGTTGCTTGTTGAATGTTCGACTTCAAACCTTGCCCTTCAGCTTGTGGTTGGAAGAAAAGGTCGAGTTCTGCATGGCAACGATGAAAACTAATTTGTGAGCTATCTTATTCTTTGTATGTCAGTTTGGAAGAATATCATGATATAAATAATGTCCTCGTGAAGAAGATTTCTTTTCAAATGCCCACATGTTTGAAATAGAACGAGATAAAAGAGTACAGTTTGGACCATACCAAATTTCTGCGTGTTTTTCGGTAAGCTTGATTTAATTTCTTTAGTAACAATTTGATGATTAAAAACATTCTTTTGATTTAATTTGAATTATTTCTTCTGCATTCTATTTATTTATAAGCAAAATTCGTTAACATAACAAGCAAAAATTACTAAGGGTAAACTTTTTGACAATATAGTCTGTTGGTTACTGGTTTGCGCTTCAACTTGTGGTTGAACAAGAATAATGAATGATACCAGGGGGAAGAAAACTAATATGGATATGAGAGCTCTTCCCGACATCACACCAGTGAATTAAACATGCTATGCGTAGACTGTTGGTTTAATACTTGATTGCGCTTCGGCTTGTAGTTGAACTAGAACATAATGATAACGGGGGGGGGGGGGGGGAGGAGGGGGGCAAGGAAAAAACTAAAACGGCTGCCTGAGAGCATGGATGGTGATAGACTCTTGCCCAACATAACATGACAATCAAGGGAACATCTGTTTGGATGTTGCGGTCGGACTTGAACATTAATTGCGAAATGCAAATTGTGAGCTGAATCCTGCCGTTTGCTGACAGTGTGGTTCTGACAGCTGTATACCGTGTAGTCTGCTTTTCGTAGCGAGATAGAGAAAGAGAGAGAGAGAGAGAGAGAGAGAGAGAGAGAGGGGAGGGGGCAGTAGATGGAGAAAGAGGGGGAGGGGGTGTAGATGTACTGGGATGCACATCATGATCAATTTATGTTTCTAGTATAGGGGAGAGAGGGAATGGGGAAGGAGATGGGGGGGGGGCGCGGTATTCGACTTAACAATGTAAAATTCGGCACTCTTGTTGTGCAAAACCTGTCCGCAACCCCCGCCCCACCTCCCTAAGAGCGATACCTTAATTGTATTCACACTATAGCTCCTTGGTGGAATAGTAAAGTGTTGAAAGACTGATTAAAACTCATCACAGTTCGAAAGCTAGAGTTCTTTTACAATATAAATGAAATTAAAGTGAAACAGATATCGTCTGACGGTAATGATGATGACAAGGTGTTTCCTATGGACTGGGACAGGTGAAAAGTCTCTGTGATGTACCGCCGGCAACAACTTGCTCTGTTGCGAACACCCACAAAATGACGAAAGTGTCAATTTAAAATAAATATATGACTAAGGCCCAGTAAGGGTGTCTTTTCTCTTTAGAGGAAATATAATAATATGCTATCCATAATATGTTTGTATTACTGCCCCCAAGGAAGAAGGCACTTAGGAGAAAAACAGAAATTAATGATATTTTGTACACGACCAACGGGAGAGTTATCCGCGACTACGTCACAAACCACTGACCATACTGCTAATTTGAGATTCGCATAGACTCTGTAATCTCATATTTCAATTTTTTTTAAATTTTAATTATCGGTCCGATTTATTTTATACTTGCGCCATTCTGCTGATCTGATTTTTCTGCTTTTATTCAAATGAACTTATATAACATGCATTGCCCTTCTCTCGAATAATTTCGTACCACGTGAATGACTGACAGTCATGTAGGGGCGGCGGGAGTTTTT